ACAGTTCATCCCACTTCTCATAAGATTCCTCTTTTTCTCTCTTTAGTTCTTTAATCATTAATTCAAGAACTTCTTCTCTGTAAAACATACACAGCTCATATTTATTATCATTTGTACTAAACTTACTTTAGTATTATTTTTGATTATAACATTCCTTCTGTTTTTTTTTCTTTTTTCTTACCTGGGGTGATTCAGAGGATAGGAAAGTAAACCCCACCCTATTTCCGACACCTTTTATAATAATTTGTATCATCATATAAAGTAATATTATGCATACTTATAAGCATATGCCTATTAATAAGGCCTAAATGTATTTATATTATAAATTTTACATCATATTAAATACTTACCTGTTGTTAGCAGCTTCAAGTTGAAGATTTAATGATTCAATTTTAATTTCACTCTCCTTCAACAGCTCATCCCTCATATTAGATTCATTATTTAAGTCTTCCTTTTCTTTCTCCATGTTTTTAATCATTAATTCTCTAGCATGTTCTCTGAAAAAATTAAACAGTCCATACATATTTATAATTATTATTTATTATTCTTTTTTCTTACCTTGGGTGATTCAGAGGATAGGAAAGTAAACCCCACCCTATTTCCGACACCTTTTATAATAATTTGTATCATCATATAAAGTAATATTATGCATACTTATAAGCATATATGCCTATTAATAAGGCCTAAATGTATTTATATTATAAATTTTACATCATATTAAATACTTACCTGTTGTTAGCAGCTTCAAGTTGAAGATTTAATGCTTCAATTTTAATTTCACTCTCCTTCAACAGCTCATCCCTCTTATTAGATTCATTATTTAACTCTTCCTTTTCTTTCTCCAAGTTTTTAATCATTAATTCTCTAGCATGTTCTCTGAAAAAATTAAACAGTCCATACATATTTATAATTATTATTTATTATTCTTTTTTCTTAACTTGGGTGATTCAGAGGATAGGAAAGTAAACCCCACCCTATTTCCGACACCTTTTATAATAATTTGTATCATCATATAAAGTAATATTATGCATACTTATAAGCATATGCCTATTAATAAGGCCTAAATGTATTTATATTATACATTTTACATCATATTAAATACTTACCTTTTGTTAGCAGCTTCAAGTTGAAGATTTAATGCTTCAATTTTAATTTCACTCTCCTTCAACAGCTCATCCCTCTTATTAGATTCATTATTTAACTCTTCCTTTTCTTTCTCCAAGTTTTTAATCATTAATTCTCTAGCATGTTCTCTGAAAAAATTAAACAGTGCATACATATTTATAATTATTATTTATTACTCTCATACGATATACATCAATATTAGTTAATCATTCCTTATGTTTTTACAAATATACTTATACATGATGAAGGCATTTTTTTTAAATAATGTACTTTATTTTATTTTTAATAGTAGTAGTATTATTAGTATTCCTTTAGAGTAGGCCTATGAACCATTTGAAATGACATGTTCTGCATGAAAATGCCATTCACGAAATATCATATTATACAGTACCACATTCTGCTTACTTGATATTCGCAGCTTCAAGTTCACCTTTGATAGATTTCATTTCGGTTTCGTACGTCATTAATAATCCATCTCTCTTAAAAGATACGTTCTTTAAATCCTTATTTTCGTCCTCTAATTTTCTAATCAGTGTTTCTCGAACGCCCTCTCTGCAAAGTGTATAAAGTTCTTGTAAGTTAAGAATCTGTATAAATTATTACTTACTGTACTTTATGTTATTAGAATTTTATTTACTACCTTACCAATAAGAATGCAGCGGTCTTCCTCTTCAAAATTACAAATAGATGTAGTTTCGTAATGGTATGCATTTGATAAATAATATGTAGGCCTATTATAATAATACTAATATTTATTTTATAGAAAACAAAATGGTGTACATATTATTACCTATTGTTCGCAGCTTGAAGTTCCATTTTGATTGTAGTTATTTCAATTTCACATGCCTTCAGTAATTTATCTCTTTCGTAGCAAACATTCTTTAACTCATCTGTTCCTTCCGTTAATACTTTAATCACTAATTCTCGAGCTTCCTTTTCTTCAATTAGTCTCGATTCCAATTCGCAGCATTTTTCATTTAGCCTGAGCACAAATATATAATCCGATTTCGTAT